AGGGTGGGCCAGGTTTCATGGGCTTGGGATCACGTATGAGGGGGGCCGGAAGGATGTGGTGGCGTGGGAGGGGCAGAAGGGGCAGGAAGAGCCAATGGCAGTTGGAGTGGGGGAGGAGCGTGTCCCCAATATGGTGGGGGCTCATCTGCTGGGTCGAAGTCAGGGGAATGGGAGGAGTGGGCGGGTAGAGAAGGCTTAGACGCTAATAAGACCTGTTTTGGGGCACAGGTGGTACATAAAGCAGGGTTAGAATGGAGGTAAGAAAAAGCCTGGACGTAGGGAATTTTGGCCTGTTTTCCCGATCGCTTGCAGAAGTTATATAAGTCCCGTAGAATGTCGGGGTTGAGGGACCCAAAGGGAGGCCACATATTTTGATTATCTAAATTATAGTTGGACCATTCCTGGGTGGAAAACCTAATAAGTTTTTTTGGCTTAATATCCGGAGTTAGACCCAAAGTGTGAAGATTAGTCAGGAGACATTTTAGAAGGGAGTTGGCCAGGAGAGACGAGGCACCCCATGAGAATGGAGGAGGAAGTACCGGCTCTGAAGGGGCATCCCCACTTCGGTTGGGGTACTGAGAGGTCTCAAACCACCGAAAGTGGTTGTCACCAGTTTCTGGCAGTTGAGGGACCCTAGAGGGTCGTAGAGCTTTGTGGCGCCCAGAGCCAGGGCTTGTGAGTGCCTGGAGGGCAGAAACAAGAAACCCCACAGCGAACGAGAGGGCAGGGAAAGGGCAGACGCTGCTTAACCCGGCTGAGTCCCGAAGAGAGAGAGAGGGAGAGAGAGAAATGAAAGCGGTAATCCAAACACTCACCCATTAGAAGGCCGGTGTTGGATGTGCCAGTGGCAATCAGGAAGAAGGGCCGGGCTGAGTGTCATCACTGGTGTGGGCTCTGGGCCATGGGCAGAGAAATTGATGGGGTCTCACTAGGGGTGGGGAAACCCATTTGAGTCATGGCACCAATGAAAGGGATGGCCCGGAGTCACAAAGAATTACACCGAGAGACAGATACTCAGCCAGAATGTATATTGGAAGGCTTCAGGGGTGAGCGGGTGGGCTGCCTTCTCAAAGTGGGAGCAGCAGCAGGGAGAGTCAGGGTGGGCCTTTTATATCCGGTTAGGCTGAGCTGGACTGTTCCTATTGGCTAAGAAGGAAGGGGAGGGAAGCAAGCAGGGTTTAAACTGAGTAGGGACTTTCTCATAGGTGGGCAAAATTGCATGCGCGGGAAGGTGATGTGGCAGCTAGGGGATTTTTCTGGGTGGGGGTTTTCTGGGAAACTTTCTCAGGTGCCATTTTGTGTATCTTGGTCTTTAACACCATTTTACTTTTCTGGCGGAGGGTATATTAGCCAACACCTTTCCTCTGAAACTTCAATTTCATTCGCACTCTCTATACTTGGATGTTGTATTAGTTACCAGTTGCTCTCTAACAGATTACAACAAATTTAGTGGCTTAGGTACAGTCATTATTATTTCTCATAGCTTTTGTGGTTCACAATTCAGGAGTGGCTTAGCTGAGTGGTTCTGGCTCATCCTCTCTCATAATGTTGTAGTCAGGTGTTAGCCAGGGCTGCAGTCATCTGATGGATTGACAGGAGCCAACAGCTCTAAATCCAAGGTAAGTCACTCACATGGCTGGCAAAATAGTGCTGTTTGTCAGTGGAAGACCTCAGCTCCTCTTCATGTGGGCTTCTCCACAGGGCTGCTTGAGTGTCCTCATGGCATGGCTGCTGGCTCCCTTCAAGGCAAACAGTACAAGAAACCAAGGCAGAAGCCAAGATGACTTTTATGACTTAGCCTCAGAAGTCACACACCATCACTTTTTCAGAATTCTGTTGGTCAAACAGACTAGCCTTGATTTCATGTGAGAGGGAGTTTCATAAAGGAGTAAATCCAGGAGATAAGTACCACTGGGAGCCATTTTGGAGGCTGACTATCACATTTGTCTAACACACATTTCAAATCTAACATATACAAATACAACCTCCTTATCTTCTTCCCCAGAGCTGCTCCCCCCACACTCTTCGCTATCTCAAGTAATGGCAAAGCTCTCTTCTAGTTGTTTGGGCTGAAACATTTGTAGTCATCTCGGACTCTAACATCCCATCCCCACCTCTTCTGGTCAGCTAAGCCTGTCAACTCTACTTTCAAAATATATCCAGATTCAGACTACTCATATCTCCTAGCATAGTACAAGACACCATTACTTCTTTCTAGATTATAATAATACCCTAGTATTATTATAAATTATTATTGTATCTGCTTCCCTACTTGCTCCCCTTTAGTCTATTCTCAAAACCAAGTTAGAAGGATCCAATTAAAATATAAATTAGATTATGCTATCATTACACGAAGAATAAAATCAAAGTTCTTGAAATTGCCTACAAGATTCTACACTACTTGGCCGCCATCTCTTCTCTGACCTTATCTCTTGCTACTCTCCTGCTTGCTCACTCTCTACTCCATCTATGATGGACTTATGTTCATGAAAAATGCCATTTGCCTTCCCAGTGCAGGCCTTTGTATTCTTCTTTCTTTCCATGAAATGCTCTGCCACCAGATATCCTCACGGCTTACTCCTTCTTCTTTGGCTCTTTATACAAATGTCCCCCTCAGTGAGGTCTTCTCTGGCTACCACCCTATTTTAAATTGCAATTCCTATACAGAAATACACTCTATATCCCTTCCTACTTTATCTTTCTCTTTAGCAATTATCACCATCTAATATATTACATTTTTTACTTATTTAAATTTATCTTTCCCCAACTAGAATATATACTCCACTAGGAATTGTTCTGTTGACTGAATCTAGAAGAATACTAAATATATTATAGATACACAATAAATATTTGTTGAATGAATTAAGAAATTGTGCCAGGCCCTGTTATAAGTAAATATCAGACATGGTCATTAGGTTTACAGGCACACATTACTAATTCTTATAACTACACCTCCTACACTCCATATTAACAAGTAAGCACAAAAATAAAAATGAAATTATAAAACACGCTTAGAGCCATAGAGGAAATGAAAGTATATTAGGAGGAATCAGTAAACGTTTTTGAGGAAGTGATATTTAGGCTGAGAGCTGAAAGATGAATAGAAATTAGCCAGGAAAGGAGTAGTGGAATGGGGTGGGGGTGCATGGATCAAGGCGGTGGAAGGAGAAAGATTCCTGACAGAGAGAATATCAAGTAGGGAGGCCTGAGGCTCACTGGAGGTAAGAAGAGATAGTGTGGCTGAAGCTTACTGAGAGGGAGAGAAAAGAGAGAGACAGAGAAAGAGAAAGAGAGGAAGAAAAAGGTTTTTTTTTTTTTTTTTTTTTTTTTTAGATGACCGGTAAAGGGATCTCAACCCTTGGCTTGGTGTTGTCAGCACCACGCTCAGCCAGTGAGCAAACCGGCCATCCCTATATAGGATCCGAACCCGTGGCCTTGGTGTTATCAGCCCCCGCCCTCTCCCGAGGGAGCCGGGGGCCGACCCGGAAGAAAAAGGTTTTTTTTTTTTTTTTTTTTTTTTTTCTAAAAGATGACCGGTAAAGGGATCTCAACCCTTGGCTTGGTGTTGTCAGCACCACGCTCAGCCAGTGAGCAAACCGGCCATCCCTATATAGGATCCGAACCCGTGGCCTT